CAAACAAATATTGATAATTAAAGATGCATTTTAGACCTAGTGAGGAAATTCCATTGAGAAAGTTTTTATTTTAATTTGATATTATAAAGATTAGCCTTCTCTTATAATTGAAGAAGACAATGATATATAATATAAATAATTAGTTGGAGATTGTTCTTTAAGATAGCAGTATGATATTATAATATCAATAAAGAATATATGATATATGTTGATTGATAATTTTATAATTAAATTAATATGGGATTTTACATATCTAACACTTAAAATTACTCTATTTACTTATCTAATAATACCCAAACTTCACTATTTACTATTCTACCACCTGAAATGGAGAAGAACAAATCTAGCCGAGCAAATCGATGAGCCGACTGAGCGAGGAAGAGGCAATGAAGGCAAAGCAAATGTTTCAGAAAGCCATGGTCAGGGTTTGGATTTGACAGAAGGTAAAAGAGTGTTAACAACAACATCTAGTTGATGGCAAATGTCATGTGACATTGGGTAGCATGCATCAATCATCACTATTATCAAAAGGGTAATGGTGAGCAATTGATAATATAACGATCGATAGTTGTTGATTGAGAACGAAGTTAAGTAGCGAAAATTCTCTAATGGTGGCTTTAAAAGCAATTAAATTTTCACAATTCACTGCCAACTTATGGGTAGTTTTCAATGGGAGTTAAGTAGACTGCAGTTTGGATTATATTGTGAAGAAAATAAAATATAGCAAATTATTTGTACGAACATAATTTAAAATCGTTCACAAAAAAGAATTCACATAAAAAAAAAAATACTCTTCTTTGCAGACAAAGTTATGGGCCAGATTAGGCCCAGATTGTGGCCTATAGTATCTCATTGGTTTTGTTTATTTGAGAAATACATATCTCTTTCAATTGGCAAAAGGCAATATGTTTGGGCCACATCTCTTATAGTCCAATCCTAAAGTTAAATACGTATAAAATTTTAATTAAAAGGAAAAAAAAATTCTTCATAATTGTTTTGGGAAATAATAAATTTAAGTATATTTTTTTATAATATAGGAAATTTATCTTATAATTTATTTAAATTTTGGAAAATTTTATTAAGTTTAATTACTTTGAGTAATTTTATAAAATTTTATTAGAAGTAATAATGGTGACGGCCGACGATGGCGGGGATGGGAGGGGAGAGCGGTGGCGGTGGTAGATGGTGGTGGCGATGGATGACGGGCGGTGGCTGGGAGGTGCGACCGATAGTGGTGGTGGTAGCGGCGGCCAGAGGAGGGCAGCGGCAAGCGGTGGCCGGTGGAGGGTGACGGTCAAACAAACCTGTGGTATAATCAATTTTCTCTCAAGATCGGATGAGTTTAGTTTACACTCAAAATAAACTATTTCACTTTACATTATATTTACTATACTTTATTTTTCAATATTCCAATTAAACTTCAAAACTTATAAAATTTGTGCATGTGGTTAACTCAACTGAACAGCTCCTTTGTAATTTTTTTTTTTTGTTAGGAATCTTAACTCTTTTTTTTTAATTTAAATCATATATTTATTTTGAACATAAATTTCACTGTATTTTATTATGTTGGATTCATACCTGACATCACTGCTGGAGATCTTGATTTATCTACAACAGAAAAAGCACCGAGATTGTTGAGCAGATCTCATTGAAATGGGCGTACCTTATTCTAAGGCCCATTTTAAATGGGCCTGTGATTCAAGTACTTGATACTATCATACTGCAATATTCTCCTCATTTCTCAATTGATTGTTGCCTATTATTTTGGAAGCAAAAAAGGAAAAAAAAAGCGGTAGTGTTTAAGAATTTTTATCTGACACTAGGGCTGTCAATTTCTGACACGACCCGCCAACCCGACCCGAACCCGACCCGGAAAATCCGGGTTTGGGTCAACCCGTGAACGAAACGGGTCGGGTAGGGGTTGAAGGATTTGACCCGTTTATAAATTCGGGTCGGGTTTGGGTCAACCCGTCAACCCGCGGGTCAACCCGATTAACCCGCTAACTCGTTTTATTAAAAACTTAAATCCCGAATCCCGATCGCGTCATCTCATTCTCATCGCTATTCGCCTCGCCTGTTCCGATGTTCGAGAGGGTTCTAGGGTTTCTCCTCGCTCTCAGCCTCTCGCGCTCTGGGGTGGAGCCGTAAAAACGACGAATCGTTGAGTAGCTGATGAAGTTTTCTTGATATCTTCTTCTGATCTTCTGAGTTCTGAAGCATCTGGCATTCTGGCTTCGGTTTAGGGTTTTTCGTCCTTGAATCCTCTTCCTTTCTTCATTTTCTCAGTTGCGACTTGCAATGGTTGGTAATATCTTGAATAACTCTTAAATCTTAATTATTTGTAGTGTTGCTGTGTTGGTTTGAATGTTTGATACTTTGATGGTGGTTTGATACTTTGATGGCTTCGGTTTAGGGTTTTTTTTGGATAAGTTCTTCTTCTTCCTTTAGTTCCTTATGAGTTATGAGTATCAGAGTATGAGTGTATTACTCTATCACTCTATGTGGCATTGTGGCTATGTGCCATGGTCGACTAATCTAGTTTTCTGGAATCTGGAGTATGGGCCGTATGGCAGTATGCTGCAGCTGCACATTTTCTTGCTAAAAATTTCTGCTTCTTTCTTCTCTTATAGTTATACTGTTAGTTAGAGTTTCGTTTAGTGATTTACTATTACAGTTTATCAATTTTGTTGATGTTGTGATTATGGCTCTCTTTGGCCTTTGCTGTTGAGATTACGGGTATGTCTTAATGTCTGTTACTCTGTTGACTCTGTTGGTTGCTTGGGTCTCATGGAATTATCGGGTTGCTTGCTGTCTAGTATTGATGAAATAAAATGCTTTAAGTATCAATGCAAGATTTCAATATGCTGTACCGGTGGTTGAAAGTACAATTGCTTGTGTTATGAGAATATGAGTTGTTGATGCTTGCTGTCTAGTCTTGATGAAAGTACAATTGCTTGATGTTATGAGTTTAATTTTGTGTTTTTATGTTTAGATGCAGGATTCTAATACAATTGTTGCGAGTAATCCTTCTGAGCATAATGAAATAAATGAACATGTGCATGTTTCTGTTGATAATGAAGTGGAATGTGATAGTGATGAGTTGAACAATCCCATTCCAACTGAGGGAAGTGTTCTACGGTATGGGGTCATTTTGAAATGTTGCCACTTGCAGATGATGGCAAAAAACGTTGCAAATGTAAGAAATGTGGTGCAAAATACTTATGTGATAGTAAAAATGGTACAGGAAATTTAAAACGCCACTTGCAAAACTGTAAGAAAAAGTCTCAAGATATTGGTCAACTTATACTTCAAAGTAA